AGCATGCCTTTCCTCTCGGACAGAGGGTCACCTCTGCTTAGCTGTGCATGCTCAAGATGTTGGCCAAATCCATAATATGTGGAAACTTAGAATGAAGGGGGTGATATGTGTTATATTAATGGGAGTGCCACATGAGATTTAAGAAATTCTTTCACAACACTGGCTGGTAGGTCTTCAACTGTGTATAGGTATAAATTTATTGAATGCTGGTGTATATTGTCTGGGGTCTTTCTGCAGTGATTATTTACAGCTCCTAATAGCCTGATCCTCAAGCTCTTATTGGGTGATACAAAGAATGAATGTTGTGAGTGATTCTTCCATCAGAACCTGGGGATCGTATTGTCGTATTTATTATTGTCAGGTCGCCTTCCCACTCGCAGCTCTGGAGCAGAATCCACCATTTTTCAGAGGCCATTCGCTTTGCCTGACTTGGGCACTTTGGATGTAAATTCCACTCGTGAATTTGAATGCTTTTTTTCCTCCACTAAAAGCAGCACAGCTAATCTTCCCAAAAGGCAAGAATAACAAAACTTTGCATCGCAATTTAGCACGCGAGGTGCATTTGTCCTCCTGTGCTTTTTTTTATGTAAGTCTCCACCCCTTGCTTTTGATCTCCCATTACTGAGCTTGTAGACAAGTCTTCCACGCTGTGTTCAAAATCTTAAGCTTAGCTCAAGCCCCCTTCAGCTTGACTTAGTGGGCAAAGTCCAGAAAATGAAGGTGTTGATTTGTGAAGTGCAGAACTTTGTGGCGGTACGGTTCTTGTTGCCTGCCGGCTCATCACTTTGTAGAGGGACTTGAGGTGATTATTAGCCCGTCTTCAGCCTCAACCCTTTTTAATAAGAGGCAGAAGTGGTGTAAAGGGCAGCATGTGATGCTGTTCCTCCTGTCCCTGTCCACCCAGCGTGAGACAGAGCTGGGCTGCCGGCTGTAGAAAGCTTGGTGTCCCAGGAGTGCCACTAGCCCTGCCTGTGGCCACATGGCAGCCCTGTTGCAGGTTAAAAGCAGGAGATAAACTTATAAGAAGAGGAGGGAAAAACACAAACAAGACAAGGCCATTTGACCTGTCTGGCATGTGGACTCATCCAGCCTATTTCTGAGGCACCACGGTCATAATGGAAATTTAATGGAAGGAGTTAAATACCATCGGAGTATGCAAGTCGTACAGTTGTTGAGAGCTGTAAAAGGTAGTGTTGCTCTAAGTTCCGATACTAAACAGATTTCTGGAAATGGGGTGGTGTGAAGGATTCTTGCAAGGCCTGAAACAGATTCTTCATACTGTGCGTTTCCAGCATCGCTGACGGGGATGTCCGGTTCCCAGACAGCAGTTCAAGAGCTAAGCTCCTGCAGCCAGGAGCACAGCAGACATCTGGGTCAGCCGTAGTCAAGCTTTGACACTGTTGCTGGTACACGAGCCGGCCACCATGGAACGAGATGGCCCCCTCCAAAAACCAAAGACATTGCTCCATTCATTTCTATGCTTGGGATCGGCTCGTCCTTTGCGCTGGGTCGATAAGCGTGCCTGCATGCAGTTGGAGTTGGCCCCGCCTGATGTTAAACTCACGACATAGGCAAGTGGGCCGACTCCAGGAGAAACTGCCGCGCTTATAGAAGAGAGCCAGTCCGACTGTCCTGTGTCAACTTTTCACAGACTGTAAAAAAAAAACTGGACGACAACGCAGTTATTACCAAGGGTGTTGACTGCAGACCACCCTGTCAAACTCACTCCCTGTATATTGCTCACAGATGTTTGGTGTTTCCTCCACAAACCATTAAAAAACAAAGTTGGGCACTTTGCTATATATGTAAAGGGTTTGGGGAGCTGTACAATGAGATCTTCCACTTTTATGCTTCTGTTTTAGGCTTTGCTAAACTTTGCTAAAGATATCCCCATTAGACTAAGGCGTTTTGGTATCATTTTGATATCGTATACATTTCACATTTCAGTTACTTGCTGTGCTTAATAGATGTCCTTTAACATACAAAACCTCTCTGAGGATGTGCGTTTCTGCATTTGCTACTGGGTAGAGTAGAGACCAGTGTGATAAGCTCTCAAACAAGAACAAGAAACAAGAAGAGCACATGTACTCTTCACGGAATATTTTTATCTCTCTTCTGCCGAAACTACAGGTACCTTGTTTATATGGATATAAACACAAAAATATTTTTCATCAAACTGATAGCCAAAACCACCAAATATTGCTTGCTAATGGAATAATAAAAATTACTCAATTGCACTGAGCAGGTCCGTATTATTAATAAGAAGTGGTCATTATTATATTTGAACATCACTTATAACTGAAACAGTGACAGAATTATTACCAGGACGGCTAGTCTTTTCTGTTGCATGTAAACTGACATTTTATTGAACAGACAAGGTATGACGAAGAGATCTAGAAAAAGATTTGGAGGAAGGCATAGTGTGTCGCAGCAGGTGTAGGCTGTAGTAGTTCAGCATGCGTAGGCTGCAAAGGAACAAATAATAGGTTTAAGAGTAGAAAGAAAACGCAACGTTTCAGCTGTGGAGCCTTCTTCATAGATGCATTTTGTTCAGTTTATCAACAAGGTGTCCACTATGAATATCAAAGGCTCATAGCATGTGTTAAAAGCAATACAAGCCCCATGCCTGGGACTCATGCTTTGCACCAGGTGGCAGTGAGAGACAGTCTTGTCCTGATTCTGTCCCATTCCTCTCTTAGAGCCTGCACAAGTGCATTTGTGCCTGTCTGTTGGTCTCGAAAGGATTCGATGCCTCAGTTCATCCCAGATCATCCCACAGATATTCAGTGGGTCTTAATTCTGGTGAGAACGGGAGCCGGTAAGATCTCATCACTTGTTCAAGAAAGCACCAGGTTGCCATCAATCACTGCGTTCTGCAGTAGCTTGGCAGTCTGGCCCAGACTGTCACTCTTGGACCCCCTTTTCATTGGGCCTTTTCTTCACAACAGTTGATGGAATCTTTTGGCATGTCTACTCCATTCTCTCTCCATTAAATTGGTCTACACAAAACCTTAACTAAATTTCCATTGTCTGTCCTGGCTCTCCTTGAACTATGGGATGCCTTTGACATTGTGCAGTCCTCATAAATAATTTAGACACTGATGATGACATCATTTGGTTTTCACTTATGTAGCTGGCTCCTGTCTTTCTGAATATTGACCTACTATACTTTGTAACTACAGAGTGTACAAATGGGCTATGACCCCTCTGTGGTGACTTGCGGTGTTCAGCAAGGCTCAGGTTATGGGCCCTTTTCCCTTCCACGTCACCATTTTACCACATGGTGATTATCTTCCGTTGCCATGGTTTCACAACTGTTTCATACTGTATGCTGTTTAGTGCATAATACAGTCTGGGTGCAACAATATTTTTCGTAGTTCAGTAGTGACGAGACAGAGGTGATGGGATTCCTTTAGCATAGTCATTGATGCCCTTGAGATCAGATCAGCTACCCATGTGAAAAGTCCACAAATTTGACTATTGTGTTTTTGTTCACCTGTGTGATATTGCATGTTACTAACCTATTCTGTCCAGTCTGCTGCTGGCTTTTATTTTCTCTAGCTTGGATCTCTGTAACATACTGTTAACAGGTGCCACTAAGTGTGCTCTTAACAGACTTGAGTTTTGTCAAAGCTCAGTATTTTTAAATCTGTATTACGTTACATTTGAATATCACTTCTGTTCTTGCCTCCCTCCATTTGCTCCCAGTGACATATAGGACTGACTTCAAAATCCTCCTCCAGACCACAAATCGCTAAACCACCAGACTCCTTCCTTCCTCAAAGACAAGCTGGACCCCACAGGAGGACTCGAGAATGCAGGCACTGCTGTTCTAGCCCTGGCATGCTTTTGACAGAAGCACTTTCCAGCAAGAATGTGCATACATACGGGAACAAAAAAATGTGCCCAATTTTCAGATGTCCTTTCTGTTTTAAAAAATGTAGGCTTGTCTGTGTGTGAAGCTCTGTCTGGCTTGTATGCTTTCCACAGGCTGCAACACAAGTGCCATTCATGGAAAAGTGGAAGAAAACCTCTTTTTGACTTGACAGCCAACAATGAAGGACATTGTCAGTCAAGGAGCAGATTAGGCCAGCAATTTGATACAAGAAGGACTCTGCTCTTTTGAGGCCTTTGTATGTACGACGTATGGTAGTCCTCCACAGCCAAACTTTCCACTGCTTAGATGCCTTGAGATACAAAGGGAAAACTATCAGGCGCCCATATAGACTTGTGCTGAATTCATATCCATATTATATCTGAAACTCCTGGACATGACTGGCATATGATGGCAGAGAATCAGTTGTCTAGATTGCTTGCTAGATTTCTACAGACAAAAAAGACCCTGGACAGTTCAGTTCTTTGTGGATTAGGAATTTGCTAGACAGCATTTCTGCTGTGCAGAACCTGGATCTCCTCTGTAAATCGTATCCCGTTTTAAAAGACAAGTTTCCTTTATTTGCTAAATGCATTTGCTATGATGGCAAATCGCCATTATTAATGTAAGTATACATTCTGTGCGTATTCCCAGGGCTGGCTCCAGTTTTTAACAGTAAATATAATTCACAGGACACAAGCCATCTAAAATATAAAAAAAGCTATGTCATGTGGTTTATTAACGCAGTAAACAGATTTCTAATGAAACAATCTGTAGCAGCTAAAATTTGGCAGAGAGTTTAGACTGTATCCGTTGCAGTGAAGAAGCAATAAAACAACTTCAGTTTTCTGATACGAGAGGTAAGTTCAGAATGCGCTCTTGCCAAAACAAATGGTCAGAAACGGAGCATGGAAACAGGCCAAAAATCAGTCTAGTTAACTCAAGGAACAAAATTAAACCTTAACACAGGGGGTGCAGCAGACCTTAAAAGCCAGTGGATCTGGCACATTGACCAACATGGGTGCGGTTTTGTCGCAGCTGAGAGGAGCTGCAGGTTAGACACCCCTGTCCCTGAGCTTGTGTCTCTTCGCTCTAAACCTTCAGTAAACTCTATGGGCCTTGAGTTCCCACATGTGCATATTGCCCAGCTAATCCACTTACTACAGCCCAGGCAGAGTGCCCCTTGTTTGCACAGGGCAGAAGTGGTCCTCTGTGGTATTCCGTTCTCCCCCAAAGCTGAGAAGACTAGACTGAGGGTGGATAAGATTTTATTTTACCCAGGCTGCCCTCTGGGATACAAAGGGGCAAACTGTTATATGGACACATTCACCCGGTTCATATCCATATCATATCAGACAATCCTGGATGTGTTTTCCAGTGCTTAGATGCCTTGAGATACAAAGGGCAAACTATCAGGCTCCCATATAGACTTGTGCTGGATTCATATCCATATTATATCTGAAACTCCTGGACACGACTGGCATACAATTGTAGAGAATCAGTTCTCTGGATTATGTGCTACCTTACTACACCCCCAAAAAGACCCTGGGCAGTTCAGTTAATTGAGCGTTTGGAATTGCAGGACGCATTGGGTCGTCTTCGTCTCTGGTGCCACTCATGGCAGCTGTGGTTTTGTTGAGGGCTCCACTGATTTAACCTGTTCTCTGATTTCTTCCCAGCGGATATTTGGAGAAGCTGCAGAGAAGAATCTCTACCTCTCACAGCTCATTATACTGGACACACTGGAGAAATGCCTGGCAGGGGTAAGGAACTTGCTTTGCAGGACAGTTTGGTTTTTTCCATGCCTACATATTTTTTTTTCCACTTTTCTAAGTTTCTTTTAATTTAAAAAAATGTGTCATGTGTTATTATGGAGGAGTGGTTAGTCCTCTGCTTGTAACTGGAAGGTTGTGGGTTAAAAATCCCAGGTGGATCATTGCTGTTAGAGCTCTGAGTGAGGTACTTCACTTACCTTACTTCTGTGTGAGGCCCAGCTGTATAAATTAGTGCAATTTTTCGCTTCTTTGAATAAAAGTCCCTCCCAAATTACAAAAAAGCTTGGCAATACGCAGGAACCTGAATTGTAGCACTCAAGAGTAGACGAGACCATTAGGATGAAAAGGATGTTTAAAATTAGAGTACAATATTAAAATGAGAATGTTTTGTTGCATTTAGGTGATAAAACATTGTCAGTGTTTATCGAAATAGAACCATATGCTACGACCATGAGATCTTCCTATATAGTTCACTTCTTCTCAAGATAAGCCTTTGCTTCAGTGCAGGTGACTGCTATCATTAGCCAAGATGATCTCTGATGAGGTATGTGCTCATTTCTAAATTGTGCTGCTCACACACTTAGACACAATCCCCCTGTGTTTCATGATCCTAACCCAGAGATTATACTGCACAACCACAAATGAGCAAATACAAGCCAAATTTGAGCATATCCAAGAAGAGAAACATTAGTTTTTAAACATGTAAAACATGTTTCACATTCCTTTTTCCAGTTACTATGCATTTTAGGAATAGATACCTGTGTGCTTTAGTTAGTGAATGCTGATGTTTTTGAGATTTCATTTGACATGTTCTAGCCTGTAAAATAAAAGGTACAACCTGCAGATGGACAGATATTGAACTCACTTTAAACTGAACTGTCTTTATCTCACAGTCACTTCATAGCTGAGCAGCAGCCTTTTGAATCCTATGCTGGCTGTACTGTCTCTGTGCTGGACTTTGTGTTTGGAGAGGATTGTGTTAATGCTGTTCAAAATTCACAGTTTTATTTTTTTAGTCCCCCTCTAAACCAAATGCAACAGCTACCGACTACAGAAGATGACTTTAGCAGGTGTTTCCTTGACTTGAGTTAGCATTTTCACAGCCTCCAATGGGATTGCTTTGGGTTTCCTGTATAGATTTTTCATTAATGCATGCCCTCAGATGGAGTGCAGCTGCTTATGACTTTAACAAATCTTCTACATTCTGCAACGTCTTACTTGCTTATTTCTGTTTTTTTGCCCATTTTGGTTTAGTTTTTCAGCCACTGCAGTGGCTTGCTGGTTTTCTTGTTCACTCCGATTCCTTGTTTGATGCCAGTGGAAAGCGGAGAACTAAGTCACTGGTTAACCGTAACGATACAGGGGCTTTTCTTTGACGCTACACGCAAGTCTCTTTCAGATCATATCGGACACGCAGCACCTTCAGATGCAGGGGCTATTGGAAATTTCAATCATTTATTCTAGTTTTAGTTTTTTTGAGAGGCACATATGTTGTCGTTTTTCTGGCATCGTGCTCGGCTAAGAGATGGAGCTGTTAGCCAGTTGTGTGAGGCACATGTTTTGACGGAAGTTATAGTGGAGATTGATCCCAAATGGCCAAACATTTCTTAGGCTCCTAAAATTCATTTAATTAACGTAAGAGTTGGAAAGGCTTAATTAAGCATTAATACCTACCACAGGGGGATTTGCCACAGATGAACAACAGGATTTCAGCTCCACTGACCTTGAGCTAAAGTCTTCATTTCTTTCGCTTTTGTTTAGTCATTCATTCCTCAGCCTGATAAAGTCCTTCATTCCTTGCAGCCTCTGTCAGCCATGACACAAATCCGTCCGAAAGGGGCAGCCTTTGTGTTTTCCGCTGAACCGTCGGCTCGTACTGCAGGCGTGAAAGGCAGGCCTTTTGCCCTTAAAAACTGGGCGGCTGTCACGTTTTTGCTGATACTTGGCGTCCCGGCCAAGCTCGCAGTAAATGCCTTTGCCGTAACGTGCGGCCGTCTCTGCCTCCCCCCCCATAGCAACCCAAGGACTGCATGCGGCTGGATGAGACCATGCTGGTGAAGCAGCTGCTGCCGGAGATCTGCCATTTCATCCACACGTACCGCGAGGGGAACCAGCACGCCGCCGAGCTGCGCAGCTCTGCTTCCGGGGTGCTCTTCTCGCTCAGCTGCAATAACTTCAACGCCGTCTTCAGCCGCATCTCCACGAGGTAACGGGGTCCGTGGGCAGATGGGTTTGGGTGGGGGTGCGGGGCCTCATCCTATCTCCGCCGTTCCACCTTCTGAAATCCCTCATCGGGCACTGCTGCGAGGTGTCCCAGTCCCCGCCGACTGAGTCGCAGAGAAACACGGGTGGGAATATTCCTGCTGGAATATTCCTGATGTGCACGGTGGGACTATGGAGGTGATGGGATGCATTTTGTACCCCAGCTATGACGAAACCTCACATACACTTAAAACCTATTGCCAGCAGCCATATCGGCCTGCAACTCGCAACTGGCAAACCACTGAAGCTCAGCAGGTGTGAGCCTGGCCAGTAACTGGCTGGGAGACCTCCTGGGAGAAGTTAAGGTTGCTGCTGGAAGAGGTGTTAGTGGGACCAGGAGGGGGCGCTCACGCTGCAGTCTGTGTGGGTCCTAATGCCCCAGTATAGTGTCGGGGACACTATACTGTAGAAGGGTTTCGTCCTTCAGATGAGACATAATACCCAGGTCCTGACTCTCTGTGGTCATTAAAAAACCCCAGGTTGTTTCTCTACAAATTTCCCCCTGGTCATTGCCAGTCATGGTCTCCTTGTAATCTGGCTTCATTACTCTGCTCTCCTCCCCACTGAGAGCTAGTGTGTGGGGAGCATACTGGTGCACTATGGCTTCTGTCGCATCATCCAGGTGGGGCTGGACACTGGCGGTGGTACATTACCTGTAATGTGCTTGCAGTGGAGTGTCCAGAAAATCGCTATATAAGTGTAAGGAATTATTATTGAAACTTCACCCTGAGGCAGTGAAGTGAAATTGAGCACCTCCCTTGCTCTCCAGAATCTCCTTCCATGTCGCCCTTCTGTCACCCACTGACCCCATTCCTGTCCTGTGCCTCGCAGCTTTCCCTGCTGCTCGATCTTTGAATTATAGATGCCCTTGTTTCCTAGGCTTTTAGCTCCTTCCGGCTGGTTCATCCTTCCATCAGCCTCCTTTCTTTGTCAAGAAGAAAATAGCCTAGACACCTCAGACCATCTGAACTAGAACCAGGGATATCCGTTATTCCTTTAAAGCGTTCAGCACTAGGCTGGCTGGGTGATCATCTCAGCTGGGGAGCTAGAACTAGGCAGATTTCTTCAGTTTTATCAATGGTGCTTCTTTATTTTTTGAGAAAAGCAGTTGACACAGCCTTGGCTCAGGGAGAGAGAACTTTCTTCAGGAAGGTCCTAGTGGTGTGGGCGAAGCTCCTGCAGGAAGGGGGTTATTTGCTCGAGCCTCTGCTCTGCTTCTGTGTCCTCCTGAGGTGTGTGTGTGTGGGGGGGGGTCAAGCTGCCAGCAGCTAGCATTACTGACCTTCTGACCCCATTCCCCCCCCTCCACTTCCTGCCCCGAGAAGCAGCTGGGAGAGAGACGGAGTGCCGGCATGAGGGATCTGGCTGCAGGCCGTGCGCTCTCCTGCCTAATCCCCGCGCACGGCTCCGCTAGTTACTTCCATAAAGGGCCGCTTTGTGCGCGGGGTTGTGGGGCGGGTATGGTGGGGTGGGGTTGGGGGGGTAGACTTTCTCATTGCGCCCTCTTCCGCGCGGCCCAGGCCGGAGAGAGAGAGGAGTCTTGGTTGTGGAGTGGTTTGTGTGCGCTTTTTTTGGGGCGGCGGTGTGCAGATCACATCTGATATAGTCATTAACTGTTCAGGTTTATGAATTATTCGCCAGCAGAAGTCAGTTTTTCTGCGCACACAGCACAGTTTTGGTTTGAAAAGTGTGTTTGAGTAGGTATTGGTTTATATACTGTATATAAACGCACTAATGATTGAAAAAGCAGAGAGGGTGGAAGTGGGTATTACTGATTAATACATGAAGAGCAGCTGGTACAGTAAGCAGCACAGTCTCTAAAAGTGGCAACACAGCTGAACCAGGTTGAACTGAAGAATGCTAAACTTGGTTTACAATTAATCATGGGTCTGTGATGGACACATCTGAACTTTTGTTCTTAAAGCAATACCACATAAATGAGTGCCGACAAAATGTCTGCTGATGTCTACGAGGAGAGAGAATGTCATACAAGAGTCAGCATCCGCTGAACTGGTCCACGTGAAGCAGTTTAGAAGTGTCAGTCACAGAAGGGGCTTCTGTCTGCCTTGACCTGATCTGACCCTCTTGTGAGCACTGGATTGCATAGCGGTCTTTTTTGAGCTCTTGCTCTCAGCTACTGAACAATGTTCAAGGTGTGCTAAAAAAAGCCTTGTTCATCACCTGTGTCCCATTGTCGTATGTTTAAGACCCAGCTTGAGGTCACTAACAGAGATGCAGTCACACTGGAAGTCTCACTTGGAGGTGTGCAGATTTGACTCCCTTCTCTTCTCGGGTGCAGGTTGCAGGAGCTCACAGTGTGCTCTGAAGACAACGTGGACGTGCACGACATTGAGCTCATACAGTATATCAACGTGGACTGCTCCAAACTCAAAAGGCTGCTCCAAGGTATGGCAAACCCTGCTCAGAATCTGATTTGTTCTTGAATTGATCACATCTGGGGCTTGAGAGGTGAAGGAGCTGGCACCTGGGTTGGGGGGTGGTGTTAACGTGATGCGCAGTTCTGCAGAGCTTTTGTGTGAACAGGCGCTTGGTTCTTTGTATCATGCAGGGTTGAAAAGTGGGATCGCACAACTCCCAAGGGAGGTGCTCATGTTTCCCCATTGTCCTTCAGTACTGCGGTTAGCCTGACCCCCAGACTCCTCTACCTAACGGGAAAACTGTTGGGCTTATTCTAGTCTTTGACTGGATTTAGTCCCACTTCCAAAATGAACTAAACCCAGGATCCCTCAAGTCAGTTATTTCACATTATCATGTCATATTGACATCTCATCGTGCTCGTCAGTGTGGGCACCTTAAACAAATTTGATCACAGCAATTAACAATTATTCTGAACATCATGGACGTACCCACAGCAGGTAGGGAAAAATTACAGAAGGACTCAGATCAATTAAAAAGGTTAAGAATTAAATTTTCTGCAGTGGAATCTGTTCATGCTAGATTTGTTTTTTCCAACTTTTAGTGTGCAGTTCTACGGGTTGTGGGTCACCCGATGGACAGAAAACGCAGTGCTTCAGTGTAAAAGCTAACAGCTGTGCTATTTATTAACTTTGATTTTTTTTCCCCTTCCTCCAGAAACGGTGTTCAAATTCAAAGCCTTGAAAAAACCTGCACAGCTGAGTGTCATCAACAGCCTGGAAAAGGTCGGTGTCTTCTGTCTGTCCATCCCGATAGCTAAGCCTGGGGCAGCGCACTGGATTTGGGGATCCTTTCCACTTGAGTCTTCGCTGCCACCTGGTGGTGGTGATTCATGCTTTCATCTGATCTGCTGCAGAAAGACAGGAAAACCTTCTTAACGGGGTCTCAGTTCCTGTCAAAAAGCAATGAAAAGGGTTTTTTGTACTGAAAACAGCAAACCTTTTATACATTCATCACTCGTTTCAAAACCACCTCCATCAAACGTCTTTATGGGTTGTTTAATCGAATATGTTGTTAATGTCCCGACGGTGGCAGAATATCATTCGATATTCTGCAGGGGCATATGTTTTTGTTCTTGTTTGCATAAACATTACACTTTTATAAATTTTTAATCACTAGTTAATTTTCATACTCCCCATCTGGTTTGGAGCAGCTGGTTGTATGTTTTGCATGTCTTCAGCTACAAACCCAGGGACCCCACACGGGGGGGAATAAGGAAGTGCCCTGACCCGCCCCCTTCCAGCCAGGCGTCCAGTACTGATTGGAAGAAAGGGGGCCGCTGGGGTCGCCGAGCGCCGGGAGAACCCTGGCCGACCAGTCCCACCCTCCTCTCAGCGGTGCTCGAACCCGTGCTCGTAGGGCTCAGCCTCGGCAAGCGCCTTAACGGCTTAATCGGTTTGGGAGTCCACCACGCTGCTTGCTTTTATAGGGCTGGAGCGTTATTACAGAGCTGCTTGTGTCCAAGAAGGGGCAAGTCAGACCCCTTTGCTCCTCTGAGCTGATGTGGATTTGAGCCAAGTCTGTGCTTTTCCTATTTCTAAGTGCCATCCTCCCCTGATCCAGTGTCTGTGTCTTGGTCACCATCAGGCCTTCTGGAACTGGGTGGAGAATTACCCCGATGAGTTCACCATGCTTTACCAGCGACCACAGACCGACATGGCGGGTGGGTATTGGCTCGTTTATCACCTGTGTGCGCAGAAGGGACAGTTACAGTGAGTAGTGCGCTCAGAGCACCGAAGCATTAGAATTGTACAGTGTGCATTCTTTATCTGCTTATCCATTGAATTCTGTACATCTCCTTTTGTTTTTGTCTTAGACGGGGAGCTGACACTAACAGGAAAAAAGTTGTTTTTTTTACAGTGTCAGTGATGAGTCGGAGATTCAGGCAATAGTCCCATCTCCCCTATTGATTAGGGGATGTTATGTGCTGTCCGTGCGTCATTGGATCCTTTCGCTAGAGTCTGCAGCTTTGCTGGGGGTTTTTTGCATGACCTTTGCCCTCTGCCCTGCGCAGACTGTGCGGAGAAGCTGTTCGACCTGGTGGACAGCTTTGCGGAGAGCGCCAAGCGGAAGGCGGCGGTGTGGCCGCTGCAGATCATCCTCCTCGTCCTCTGTCCCGAGATCACGCAGGACATCTCCAAGGACGTGGTGGAAGAAAACAGAGTCAACAAGGTGGGGGTGGGAGGAGAGAGAGAGAGCGGGTTTTTCGGTCAGGTCTGTTCATCACCCAGCCTGTCTGGAATGAAGATTTGAAAGTGACGATTTTAACATCACGACTTATTCAGATACTCTGTTCTTTATGATTTGGAAAGGGATATCATAAGGGAAGTGCTAGTGCTTTTATGATGAATATTGGTTTACTGGTACTCTTTACTGTTGATTTGCCTAATGCAAAATTATTACACGTGTTGTCTTTTGCTGATGTGCAATCCTAATAGTACGTGCTAGAGTCATAGCGAGCTAGAAGAAAGATCATGTTGGTAGCCTTTTGCTCCTTTTGGAGTAATACGCAATGACCCGTGTCTGACCTTATTGCAGAAACTGTTCCTGGATAACCTACGCAAGGCACTGACGGGCCATGGGGGCAGCAAGCAGCTGACTGAGAGCGCTGCCATCGCCTGTGTCAAACTCTGCAAGGCCTCTACCTACATCAACTGGGAGGATCACTCCGTCATCTTCCTCCTGGTCCAGTCCATGGTGGTAGACCTCAAGGTAAACCTACATCCTGGCCTGGGCATGCTTATGCAGCTGTTCCACAAGTTTCTGAATCGGTGAACCCCATGTGTTCTTCCTGATTTCTGAACTTCCCGAGCCTCCTCCGTGACTCAGCACCTAGAGCACGAGTCGGCAGTTCGTTGCATTCGCCCACAAACCCCTTCTGTTCAGCCCTGCAGTGACTTAGCCTTTGTTTTCTCGTTTTATTTTAACTCGTCACAAAAGATTTAGCAAAAAAAAATCAACCTTCTTTGAGATACGTCCCGTGTAGCCAAAACATCTTTTCAGTTAAGAGCGACATGAGAGCCTGTCTCAAGGTTACCCACAGCAGACTGCCTTGCAGCTTGACAATTAATGCCGGCAGCTTTGCAGATTCAAAGCCCACCAGCTGCTCCAGCCCCAGCTGTGAGGAATTTGTTTACAGCGCAGCGAGGCGGAAGCACGCTGCACCTGTTTTGAAGCGTGCCCTCGAGAACAAGGGGTCGTGAGGCAGTGCAGACCGACGCCAAGCAGAAGCGAAGAGCGGGGTGTCTCTCCCTTGACCCCAGTCTCAGGCCGGGCCTCTGTTCAGAAACTGCGTCGGAGCACCGTGAACGTCTCTCCACACTCCGTGCGTTCGGCTCTAGTGCGGCATCAATTCGGAATATGAAGAACCGTCGCGTCATACTACTTTAAAGCTGAACTCGGGGTTGCGCCAGCTTGCGTTCCACGATCCATAAATGCGATTTATGTCCCATCACCGTTATTTAACGCAATATGAAGGTGAAGCTGTGGATGAATTACCCCCGCCCCCTGGCGTTGGCTCAGAAGATGTGAATGCCCGCCTTCACTCCTTGCGCCCTCTTCCCACCAGGCCCTGCTCTTCAACCCTGGCAAGCCGTTCTCCCGGGGCGCGGGAAGCCAGAGCGCCGACATTGACCTCATGATCGACTGCTTTGTCTCCTGTTTCCGCATAAACCCCCACAACAACCAGCACTTTAAGGTCGGTCTCGCCCCGCGGTGGAAGAGAAGCTCTGATCCTTGTCATTACAGTGTAGTGCTAGACACGGCAGTCTAGGCGTTGGCAGTGGCAAATAATCCTTCTAGTAATACAAGTGTATGTACTGTATGTACAGTGCTGAGCAAATGTCTTTTCTATTTTTTGGGGGGGTCAAACGTTTTCCTTCCTAATACAGAAATGTAGTTCTAAGGCAGTTTTCTATTCGCTTTAGCGATTTTGCTGTTGAAACTATTTAATCTTGATACGGCTGTATGTTGAAGTACAAAAAGTCGCCTTTTATCTTTAAGGATGTGTAGGGAGGAACAAATGATGTTAGTGCTAATGAAAACCTGACGTTTGAGTCGTTGGCGAATGTGGTAAATTGACTAGTGACTAACTTGATTCCTGAGCATTTGGTGGTTAAAGTTTTCGTACTTTTGAAGAGAGTAGGGGTACTAACTCTGGAGTAATTTCTGATGAATTCTTAACTTGGTGAAGCAGTTCTTCTCTGCTTGAAGTGCTCTGGAGTGCTGGCTCAGAATAGCTGCCACTCATCACCCAGGTGGGGTGGATGAAGTCAGTCCCCTCCTATGTCTGAAGCACTGCGAGATCCTTTGGAATTAAAAGGACTGAAAAGGCGCCATGAATTAATTAGTATGATTGTTAATATTCCTCACAGATTGTTTGCTGCATTGTTGTGGTCAGGGATTTGAAGCTTCCGATCAATGTGAATTAAAGATACTAAATAACAGGTTTGGTTCAAGCTAGACTGTATGAGTAGTAGTCAAGGTTGTTACAGTAGAAGACACTAGCAGTGCATTTACATACATTATTGATAACATCCGTGTAGCTACTGGTTGTCAAAAACATTTGCTCAGTAGTGTATGTTTGCATAAACATATGCAAACAAAAATAAGATCTACCAAAGTGGAGTGCCACACACAGTATAAAACTGACGACATCATAAGTGACTTCACTTGTTATTTCGAAAAATGTGCTTTGTGTTGCCTTTGGGAAAGAAGTTTGAAAGTTGTTGCTCTGTGCCAGAACTGTGTGTGCCTGTGTTCTGCGGTTTTCGCTAATGAGCTCTCCCTCTGTGCTGTTTGTCTGCCTGTTCTCTCTCAGGTCTGCCTTGCCTCCACCTCTCCGCCCACCTTTCACTTTGTCCTGGTGAACTCCCTGCACAGAATCATTACCAATGTGAGTTTTGCGCCACGGGCACGTCAGTATTTGTCTGAAGTGAGAGGAATGCAAACATGCTAGCTTTTGTTATAAATGTGCCCTTAGCTACGGAAGATCTCTCCATTTTAAAGCCACTTTTTAGGTGCAACATTTCCATGCCGGTGGTATATGCTGGTACTCCACTGCTGAGGCAGTCTGGATATTTATACAGTGGTACTCATGTTGGCTCCCTTTTGTTCGGTCACGGAGCTGCCTCTCCGGCTCACGTGTGAGTGAGCACTGTCCTTCCAGTTTGCGGTGTTTGACCATGAATGACCTGCTAGCCTAGGCTGCTTCCTGGCAATGAATAGCCCGGGCATCAGCTAGCTGCCTCCATTGTTCCTTATTGTCTGGGCAGGGAGGCACACGGAGAGGCCAAGCTTGGCTTCCCCGAGCTCTGCTGGTGATTGATTGGAGTGCCAGCAGGCAGGGTGAGCCCCAGTGACCCATTTTCCTTCACTTGAGTTATCAAGTGAAGATCTTTGGGTTCCCACTTCACTGCTGCAATGTGTCCTGTTTACTGCAAAGTATAGAAAGATTGACTGGTACAGAGATAGTAAGCCATGAGAGGAACTTGAATCGTGCTTTGGGGGACATAAACCCGGGTCAGATACTGTAAATGTGATCTAGGTGCATCTAAATTGAAAATATCTAGAATGTGATAATCCTAACCATATAGTGTCAAGCCCTAACTGCAATCTGTCTCCTAGCCTGCATCATCCTGGCCCCGTTATAAGAATTTTTTTAAAGAAAAGAACTGTCTTGTGTTGTTGTTCAGACTTGGATGAGTGTTTTTGCTGGTTCAGCCACTTGAGCCCTGTAAACGAGCAACTTGGAATTGGTAAATGCAGCCCATCCCTGGGTTCTCTGGCTGCACGCCTCGCCCATAGTGCAGCCCACCTGCTTGTCAGAGTAAAATGAACAAATTGCTTCCAGTCTGTTTTATGTTTACCTGGCCGTCGTGCTTTTTGCTGTGTGCTCCAGTCGCCCCTGGACTGGTGGCCGAAGATCGATGCGGTGTACTGCTACTCCGGGGAGCTGCGCACCATGTTTTTGGAGACGCTGAACCGGGTGATGCAGGTCTGCAGCAGCCACGCGCCTCTGCGCTTGACGACGGTGAGGCGGTCCCGCCATACCCTTCCTCCTGCCCTCCCCCCTCCCCTCCTCCCTCTCTGCCTCACACACACGCGGTCGCCCCGAAGACCCAGCCAGCTGCAAACAGCTGGGAAACGCTTTGTTCCAGGGCAGGGGCATCCTGGCAGAGGTGTGCCATCATGACATAACACATGGGGTCGGGGCTACTCATCCTCTGGCCCTTCCAGTCCTCCTCATGTGCAGAATGTTGCAACATCAGTAATAATTGATAATTAGCAGGGTCATTCTCGCAGTTAATCCGGTCGTGTAGCAGCACAGCACTGGAGCGGGTTGGAAGGACTACAGGTTCAGGAGATCTGGGATGCCTAGAGAAGCACTTGGGTGCTTCTGTGTGCCATTATCCAGAAAAACCTTTTTCTTAAAAAATAAAAATATCTTAGCTGACATTTTCACCTGTGAGTCTATGAGGTTTATCTTTCACTTTGAAATCGGTTCGCTCACCCGGCAGAGCATGTCTTTGCTCTGGTGTTCCTCTGCTCCTGTCCTCTGGCTGGCGGGCCGGTTCATCTCAGCGTCACGGGCTCTGCAGTGTACGTGGCCTCTGCTCACACCTGCCGCGGAGATGGGGAACGTGGTCCTGGACCTCGAACGTACATCGCTGCTGCTCCCAACTTTATCCGGAGCTCCTCTCCCTCTGCTTTCTAGCTCGATCCTTCCAGGCAGACGGCAGTGAGGGTGAATTCACAGTCAAAGTGTCACTTTCTTGAAGACAAGTCTCTTCACCTCTCAAAGCCTCACCCAGTCCAACCGATTCGACATTGTAGGGGCTTTTAACCCCCCCACCCCAATCCCCAAAGGCGTGTTCACCTGTGTAGCTAAAATCATTGTCTTCTAATTTCTTCCTCCTTTCCGTGTCATTCCGTGAGCCATTCGTGACCGTATGGCGTATGACCTGTATGGTTAAACAGCAAGGTTTTCTCGATCGGCTGCTCCGACATTGACCGGTGGTGCTTTGTCTTCTGCTTTTTTTTTATTTTATTTTTTGTTCTTCGTTGGCTGCTGTCGCTCAAACGGTCAGATGCCTGCCAGTCACTGTTTTGCATGGCAGTGGGCCTCTGTTGCTGTAAGTATGACTCATTGTAACTGCCACAGAAAAGAGAGAAGCAGCCTTCGATCTTTTCTGAGCCCAGTTGCACTCCTCTTCACACCATGATGTTACAATGTCCTGGCTGTGTAGCATGCTTGCTGTCTTTTTCCGTCTTTGGCGGACGGCTCGATTTATCATCACTCCGTGTAGAGGTCCTCCAGCTCCTTGCCGCCCTGCATACTTATTTTTTAGTGCAGAATCCCTTTTTTTGTGGTTGTGGCTTTTCAATTTTGCAGTTTCTTTTTTTGGATGGGAATGAAGAGGTGAGCCATAGCCCAGGTGGATTCAGCTGTGTTTAGGTCAGGAGGTGTTGGCTGCCCCCTTTTAATTATTTTAACTTTAGTTGGGCTGTGGGGTGTGTTTGCTCAACTTTGACAATCTCGGGCTAATTAAAAAAAGAGGCTCTTGCGCATCAGATTAGCACTGATTCAACTGCATGGACATCCGCGTGTGAGCAGGCTATCTTGCTTTTTTCTCATCCTCCTGACGGCCTCTGTGCTTGATTGGGAAATGAACTATCTCTGTTCCCGTCAGTGGTTTACATCAATGTCTATCGCCCTACCTTATTCATGTTGTCATGCTGAACCAAATAGACTTCTTTGGTTGCACGCAGAGCAAAACACACAGTGGGTACAGTAACAAAGCCTTCTGGAAGCCTGGTACCATTCCTTTCAGTCTCACAGGTGTTTGACCAATTTGACCAATGAGCATCGCAATTTGCATGGTGTCCAATCAACAGTGCAGGATGCCAACAAAGTAACGCCAAATTTTCCCGGGAGGGGGGCACGCCAATAAGCACACTTCCTCTGTAACCCTGTTGTTTGAAGGTGTGGGCGAATTTCGGGGTCTGACCTGTACCACCACAGTCAAAGAGGAGTGCTGTGATCCTGTGGGGGTATGCGTCGTAACTGGTGGGGCACATGAAATCTCTTTTCATTCCAAGCGAGATCTGTTAAAAGCGTTTATTCCTGGTACAGCTAATTTAGGAATTGCCAAAGAAAAGTCCATTTTGCCCAGCATACTAAAATTAAAAATCCCCCCCCCCCATGCACATTTAATTCTCGCATATTCTGCAACATGGGATTTTTTCAGTTTCTGGGTATCTGTCTTCCTCTGTTGTGTACTTGTCTTTAATCAATTGAGAGAATCGTTTTTTTTAAGCTGCTGGGAAGATGGATTTTTTGATGATTTCTGAATTAAGGGGCTAGGAATGATACCTTTCTGTTTCTCGGCGACCTGTTCTGATTTATTTCTGTGTTTTTGGGTGTGAGATGGTTTCTTCCAGTAGCACCTTGCAGGGTCCTGCCTTGTCTGTTTCATGGCCATCACCCCCATGAAGCCATGAAACTGTTTTGTTTGGGAAGTTTCCCGCGAGTTCATGACCCCTTTCCTTCCTCTGGCACTCTCGTGCTCTTGCTGTCTGCTGTCAGTCCCTGAATTGTGAAACACCAGATCTCTCGGTTGTCCAGGAAGCAGATGACCTTGACCTGCAACTTTTTTTTTCTCTCCCTTCTGTTCTCGTTCTCTCCTTCCCTCCTAGCCGAGGGTTAATTAAAAAAAAGCTAATCAACGTTGTATGTCTCCTTGTTGATCTGTTGTGTTTCTGACCCCTCCCAGAGTCTGACATTCAAAGAAAAAATGACGAGCCTGAAGTTTAAAGAGAAGACGGCAGACCTGGACACCAGAAGTTATAAGTACCTGCTGCTGGCTGTGGTGAAGCTGATCCATGCTGACCCAAAGCTGATGTTGCACGTAAGTTCACTTCCTGCCCAAATAAAAAAAATATATATTTAGGTAACACAAAGTTGCTCTGAGCATTTGCACCACTAGGGGAGCCCTTTGATAATGATTGAGTCAAGCGTTTTAAGCTTGAACTTGAACTTTATTGCCATATGTAACCGGTACTGGTACAATGGAATTCTTACTTACAGAAAGTCTCTCGATTGTAAAACAAGTGTAAAAAACAAAACAAAGCTAAGAGTGAAACGAAGGAGGATTGCATGCATTTTCATATAGCTTGCTGTTACTTACTACGTCCATTACATTTCAAGTTGTCTGCCTCAGAACATTTGAAAATATTTTCTTATTACAGTTCTATTCATTTTCTTTTCGTCTTTAACCATTTCTTTTAAAATGCCTGAATGCTATGATTGTATGCAAGTAATCTCACCCTACACCACAGGCTTACTTTAGGAGTGCTGACAGAAAGACTTGCTTGCATTGGAGTTGGGTTTGTTTCTCTCTGCTGCCTTGAGGCCGATTGTCATAGCAGCCTGCAGTTTCCCTGCAGTGTACAAGGGCTGCGGAGAAGAACAGTGACAAACAAGAGGAGACCATTCGAACCTGCAGCCACCTACCCTTGCTGTATCCCCAGCCAAGATAATGCAATCTTCAAATCATAACGTGCTTATTCTCCATTTGCCTCCTTAAAACTGGACCTAACTTAATGTGACCTTAACCCTTATCCTCCTGCATAGTTGATATGTGCAGGCGGTGCAGTTCTGAAGTTTGAACATAGAAGGATCTAACCTTCTGGAAATGCACAGATTTAAATTCAGCCCGGTGGGTCCCTGCAAGCCGTCAGCATTACTGGATGCAGGGAGCCTAGGGGGAATCGGAGTTAAGAGGATTGTTTAATCCTCTCTGGGCTACCTGGGGGCTCATCAGCAATCCCTGTGGGACCACCGATGGCGGGAGGGGAGAAATCAAGTCTCGCTCCGTCATGTCACGGATGGGCTTCTTCCTGTGGCCTGCTCGTGCGTGTGTCCGTCTGGAAGCATCATGGCTGCACTCTCGCTGGTTCCAGAATCCCGGGAAGCAGGGCCAGGAGATCCAGAGCAGCACAGCAGAGCTGATCACGGGGCTGGTGCAGTTGGTGCCCCCGGCCAACATGGCAGAGATCGCCCAGGAGGCTATGGAGGTGAGGCTTCTGCACGTGTGCTGACAGAGGTTAACATTTGCATGCAGTAGCTAAAGTATTAAATGGGGGTTAGGGGGTGTAAGACTTAGTCAAGTTTTTTAGGTGTTGAGCAGAAGGACTAGGAGAAAAAGCCCTCAGGAATCTCTGGGTAATTACTTTTGATTGTAAGAAGTTCAGCTTTTAGGCTTCAGATGGTTTTGTAAAAGTTCAGATGTTGGTAATTGTTCTAGATCCAGCCCTTATATGATTAGTCACTTTTAACAAGCCGATTAACCAGAGAAGGTGACAAAGATGCTGCAGTGATTAGACTGAAAGTGAAGACTTTCCTGCTGTTTTCTTTCAATGTTTCCAGGCATTGTTAGTTTTGCACCAACCAGAAACCATTGAGCTGTGGAACCCTGATGCACCTATAGAAACGTTCTGGGATATCAGGTATGAACAGACACTAATCCCATGATTCCCTTCAATGACCTACAATGTTTTGTACTAATCCGGTTTCTTATCCCACAGCTCACAGGTGCTATTCTTCATCTGTAAGAAGCTGATCGGCCACCAAATGATCAATAGCACAGAGATCCTGAAGTGGCTGCGGGAGATCCTGATCTGCAGGAACAAGTTTCTTCTCAAGAACAAGGTGGGGAGGAGACCCGGGCACCTGGGGGCGGAACGGGAGATTGTTGTAGAGTGTGGAAGGCTGTGCCGCAGCCACAAGAACATCAGCAAGGTCACAAACCAGAAGAAGCAGTTTGATCCATCTGGTTTTTAGCAGCTAATTGATCAGGGGATCTCAACCAGTTGTTTCTTGATAAAAGCCAGGGTATGGGGTTATCAGGGTATCGCCTTCAACAGCACAACTGTGGAGCTTGTAGCACGTTCTCGCACCCCACTGTCTAAAGTCCAGTTCTCAGTTTTAAATGCACTTTAAAAGCAGCATAGACTCCAAAGGTACACCTGCCCCGCCCTGCCTGACCTGTACATATGTTTTTACGAATGCCAGGAGAATGCCACCCTGGGCAGCGGGATTCCCATCTGCAGGCAAGCCCAGACCAAGCTGGAGGTGTGCCTGTACATGTTCCTGTGGAGCCCCGACATCGAGGCCGTGCTGGTGGCCATGTCTTGCTTCCGGCACCTGTGCGAGGAGGCGGACATCCGCTGCGGAGTGGACGAGGTGCCCGTCCAGAGCATCCTGCCCAACTACAACACCTTCATCGAGTTCGCCTCTGTCAGCAACATGATGTCCACAGGTGAGGGCGCGGGGCATGGCGAGGCAGGGCCAAACCGCCACCATTCCTCAGTTTGTCTCGAAAGTCACTGGAAATATTCAGGGAGGGGGGGCTTGCGGCGGCGTCGCCGTTAGCAAGGGCTGGCTCATTTTTTCCCGCTCTCTCTCGGCCGTCTTCGGGGAAACGCCCAACCTCTGCTTCAGAACTGTCAATAATAGAATCTGTATCTGTGGTGGGTAATAATGGAAAAATGAGACAGAGACGCAAAAACACTTGGCCCCCCGAGAAGGGAAACTGAAGAGGAGCAGGGAGACCGAAGCAGTTCTCCACCCTACACAACGGTCTGTACGGCGACAATCCGATGTCTCTGAAGACCGCGAGTCCCCCTGTTGCCCTCGAAAAAATCTCTGCTGAACTGATAGACTTCAGGAGGGCTGACTTTACTGACTCACAGACTTTACTGAAGAATCGAACCGAATGAATAACAGGTAAATGTTTGGGGAGAGAGGAGCCGATACCTGGGGATTCTTGTTCGTGCCATTCTCCTGGGATGTGCCCGATACAATAGACAGATCAATGCGCACAGTACATTGCAAAGCAGTAAATAATGACCAATCACGCACAGCATTGCACAACAGCATGCAACAGGTAGTACAGAACAAAAAACACACAGGGCAATAGATAGTAGGGTAGTGGTAGCCAAGTGAAAAGTGCTGAGTGCAGAGATGTATTGAATTTTGAGGCATTGCGCAGTTAACTGTTAATGATGCACACTGCCTTGGGGAAGAAGCTATTGTTAAGTCTAGTGGTCCGTGCTGGAATGGTGCCACTCTGCTTGCCGGGGGGGGGGAACAGTCTGTCGTCCGGATGGTTAGGATCCTGAATGAAGGATCGGGCTTTACCGTGTTTCAAGGTGGAATCTGTCTTTCCAGGTCGTGCAGCACTACAGAAGAGAGTCATGGCCTTGTTGAGGAGGATAGAGCACCCAACTGCAGGAAACAAAGAGGTCTGTATGCCCTGCGGGCTCCCTGCCTTGCCCTACACGCCCTGCAGGGCCGGGCCTTACGAACCCTGTCGGGATGTGGGGGAAGATGAGAGGAGGCTTCACGTGCTCTGTTCCTGAGGTTCAGCATAGTATAGATCAGCCACCTTGCTGCATACCATACGAAGGCTTTGAAGCAAGGTTGTGATATATTGAAGAGAAAAACACAACAAAAACTCTATTATCTTTTAACTGCATCTGTGTTGGAGATCTGTGTGGGCAGTGACAAAAAGTATGGATGGAAGTGCTTTTGGTTAGAAAGTGTGTATCATATGCAAAAATGTAAGTAAAGAAAGTGTAAACTTTCTGTCGGATTCACCTCACTTACTTCTCCTTGGCCAACAGTAGGGCACAGTAGTAGTCTGCACTCTGTAACCCTTATCTGGTATTAAAATGATTCATGTTTGAGTAATGAATTCACCTGCGACAGTGCCTCGGTCTCGAGAGCACTGTATATGGTGCCGTTGTCAGGCTGCATGTGTTTTGCGTGCTGCAGTAATGAACGTGAACAGCTCACGTCTGACCCGTGCTTTGGCTGCCTGTATTTCAAATCTGTCAGAGAATTTCTTTTTCTCTGCAACTACTACGCCCTCATGTGTTTGGGCCTCATTGTGATCCCTTCCTGTGATCGTGAGTCGTGGGGAATCCGTCAGAATCAGCCAGGCTGAAACTCAGAACATTGTAATGCCCTGCTGACTGCTAGGTGCTAGTCCACATGAGGATTTCTATATGAATTTGTTATTCATCGTCTCCATTTCTGTTGAGGATTTCCACTGGGGCCTGTAAGTTAATTCAGGCAGTTCAGGCCTGTTGCTTTCTTCTGCACTGTGCGACCAACTCGTATTCTGTTTCGGGATTTATGACACAGCACTGAGGCCCTCTTTCTCGAGAGCCGTATGCCAGTTTGTTAGGGTGCTCTGTGTTGCTTTTCTGAGGCTAACCTGACTCTTGTGCCCCCCAGGCTTGGGAAGACACGTATGCAAAATGGGACCAAGCTACTAAGTTAATTCTTAATTATCCAAAAACTAAAATTGAGGATGGACAGGTAAGCATGGGCCGCAGAAGGTGTTTATATTCCAAGGTTTACTGTTTTTCCCGTGTTTCCTTCTGATTGTAACCTTTTTTCCCTTCCCTTTGGGTCATTATGCAGGAAACTTAAAAAAAACAATCAAATCCAAATTAATAAATAACGTGAGCTGGTAAATGCACAAAGCGGTCGTCCTATTCTGTATGGAAATAGTCTGAACCCAAAATAAAAATTGTGTGTGGGGGGGGGGGAGCGTTTGACTAATGTGGTCCTGATGCCATTGACAAAAGCAGACACATGAGAAGGACACTGCATTTAAAACCCACGATGTCCTGAATCATTTTTCTCCATTCAGGGTCTTAAAGGCTCTATTTTATGCTGTCAGTATGACATTTACCTATTCTGCCTTCTGCTTCCTTTTTGTAACAAACCGAAATCTTTCTTTGCTGCATAATTATTTTAAAAGCAGCTATGTTTTTGGAAGAGCTGCCACTGAGCCTGCCTTGCTCTCATGTGTCTGTGTCACTGTGTGCGTACCCACCAAGGGCATGGGCTTGTTCTCTGTGGGGTGCAGTGGGAATGAGTGAACTTGTGTGCCAACTTCACGGCCATGGTGTGGTTTGAGGAGACCGCCCTACTGTAGGCAGTCAAAATGACTCCAGCCTGAGCCACAGCAGCATCCTCACTCCTCAATAAGACTCAGTACAGTCGTGCTCCAGCGTATGTAGGGCCTTGTGATATGTGATCCCTGCCCTGAGGAACCTTATGATATTTCCCCTGTAGAACCTAAAGGCAACTTTAAGTTTGCAAAGAGCTTGAAAACAGTCCACCCGACCTGTCCTGCAGGTGTTGTAATGCATGCTAGACGATTTCTCTCTGCGTATGCGAGTGGGGGAAAAAAAAAAATTGCAGTGCTTCAGTAAGCTTTCATGTGGGGGTTGTTTTATTAACACGTCATATTTCTAATGTTTTCATTCCCATTTCCTCTTTTTTGTAACTTTCATCATCATCAATCTAATGACAATGCATTCTTTTTTTTTTAACGAAGGTCAAGTAAAACTCAAATTGTGTCCACATTTAGGTGACAGAAAGTCTCCATAAGACAATTGTTAAGCGGCGAATGTCACATGTAAGTGGGGGTGGCTCTATAGACCTGTCTGACACGGACTCCTTGCAGGAATGGATCAACATGACGGGGTTCCTGTGTGCTCTGGGTGGGGTGTGCCTGCAGCATCGCAGCACCCCCGGACTGGCCACTTACAGCCCACCCATGGGCCCCCTCAATGAGCGCAAGGGCTCCATGATCTCCATGGGCTCCAGCGAGGGAAATGTAGAGACACCCCTCAGCAAGTTCCTGGACCGCTTGCTCTCGCTCATGGTGTGCAACCACGAGAAAGTGGGCCTGCAGATCAGGACAAATATCAAGGACCTGGTGGGCCTGGAGCTGAGCCCCGCACTGTACCCCATGCTCTTCAACAAGCTCAAGAACAGCATCAGCCGCTTCTTCGACGCACAGGGGCCTGTGAGTTTCCTGGTCTTCTGTTCCAGTTCCTTCCGGACCTCAGCTCTTTGGTAGAATGAACCGAGTCTGGCTGTAAGATTATTCCCCAGTCCCTTCAACAGTAACTTGCCACCGATTAAGGTTCTACTTGGCGTTTTTTTTATAACATAGGGCAGCCGTTTCATTACGTTTATTAACTTTATTATGCGTTCCAAGAACGTGTTGAAAAGACAATGCCTGTGGTGGTTTAAAATCCACCTTTATTTTGTAATATGTTTTTCTATGGCCATCACAGTGCATTGCGTATGCTAACTGCCGTCTCCCAATCCTCTCCCAGGTTCCGATCAATGACACTAACACGCAGTTCGTGGAGCAGACCATTGCGATCATGAAGAACCTGCTGGACAATCACACCGAGGGCAGCTCTGAGCACCTGGGCCAGGCCAGCATTGAGACCATGATGCTTAACCTGGTCAGGTACGCACAGAGCTCCCCGCACCAGCAGTCTGGGGGTTCAGCGTTTCAGAATATTGCCGCCTTCATTTTCTTTATAACATTTGAAATAAATTCAACTTGTCCTTTTATAGCTCATGTAATTGCTTGTGTTTTTATCTAAGCGATCACCTTTTGCTTTGATCCTGAATTTTGCACCAGTATCCATTTCTGGGTGTAATGGTGTATTGATTTTCTTTTAACTCTAGCACTGAGGATGGCCACTACATGATTGAAGTGTGTGAGTGTAATGTGCATTTCTGTGCACTTAAGTGTGAATGGTTTCCAAAAATGTAAAATAGATTTTGCCTGGTTGAATAGCAAGTGCCTTCAGCTTCATCATTGTCAGGACCTGCATACCAGTACAATTTATAGATTTATTTAGTTCAATTGGTTTTTAAAGATGCAGTTGTTGACAGCAATTCTTAAACCTAACAAATGCCTTTTCTTAATTGGCCATCTTTGTCCATGCAGTAATACTGACTTGGTAGTGTGCTAGGTAGCTTTCTGGTAGCCAGACATGTGACTATCCTATGACTTCCTTTTCGCAAGTTTGGAAGTGAATTGGTCCTGCAGTAATGTGCAGCAGTGGAGGTCAGGATGCATGGCCTTTTGTTCTGCAGCTGTTTCAGAATGAGATCCATGGGTGCTCCTCATTGGCTGACCTCTGTTTGTGCCTACAGGTATGTCCGAATTCTGGGCAACATGGTGCACGCCATCCAGATCAAGACCAAGCTGTGCCAGCTGGTGGAAGTGATGATGGAGCGCCGCGACGATCTCTCCTTCTGCCAGGAGATGAAGTTTCGGTAGGGCCTGTCTTCTGAGTGAGTGGGTTCGCTCACCTGCCCATTTCTGGCTTTAACCTCACTGCTCTGGCCACTTGATACTCATTCTAAGTGCTATAAGGCAACAGTGTGTTCAGGTCACCTTTCCTCTCCTTTCATTTAAAGATTGATGCTTTTACTGGTTCGCTTTGCTCGCGTGGATTTCAGCAAGCACACCTGAATGAAGGCAGTCCTGAAACATGCTAATTATCTGTTTGTACCGATTATAGATTTGAAGGATGGGCTTTGTTGTAAGAACTGAAACAATAATTTAAACACATGCATATATTAGAAAATTAAAAACAATTAGCCTGTGATGAGGAAATTGGCTGAAGAGACAACGTTTCCCTGGATTGGATTGAGAACCACTCCTCTTGGCCCAGATTGCAGAGCACATCCATCCTTCCACAGGGTTGCAGCGGCGCGGGAGTCTGTCCCAGCAAGCAGTGGTCACTAGGCGGGATACATCTTGGGTGGGACGTCAATCCAACTCGGACACGCACAGACACAAACATACACCCGCTCACGCCCATGGGACACTGCTGGGGTCTGCGGGATTGGTGTTCCCTGGGGTGATGGACAAGGGCATGCCTGCAGGTCTCTAATGCTGTGTCCCCCTCTCAGGAACAAGATGGTGGAGTACCTGACGGACTGGGTGATGGGGATCTCCAACCAGGCAGCTGATGAAGACGTGAAGTGCTTGACTAGGTGCTGTCTCAGTCCCTGGCCTGGTGTTCCTTCTCCTCCTCCTCCTTTCCCTTGGGGAAATAATTACACAGAGGCCGTTAACCAACCATTGCCGGGTGTGGTATCAATGAGCAGTCCTTCTTTCCGACTGCAGGCCGATGTGTTTTTTTCCCCCCTCATTTTTCCTGCCTTTTTTTGTCCATCCCTTCGTTTTTGCTAAGTGCTGTATCCTTCGAGGGTCATGCTGTCACATACTTTCATGGTAAGCAGAGGGTGAAATAGAGGACTACACCATGGACAGGAAGTCAGTCTGCCGTGGGGACTGTTTTTTATGTATTGAAAAAGAAAGGCAGCTGGATTTCTGAAGTCTGTGATGCTGTCAGAGTGGTTCTGATTGTAGATCATGAGAGGACCTAGGTGATCTTGAAAACGTAGTTGTACTGGAGTCGATGTCACGCAGTGGTGTGTACATATGCTTATGCAGGTTCTGCTATACTGATAGTCTGTGTCGTGACTTGTTTTTTCTTTTTTTTTTCCTGCAGAGACCTGGACCAGGCCAGCATGGAAGCTGTAGTGTCCCTGCTGGCTGGTTTACCCCTCCAGCCAGAAGAGGGCGATGGTGTGGAGCTGATGGAGGCGAAGTCGCAGCTTTTCTTGAAGTAAGGACACCGGGCCCAAGAGTCCTCACTGGCCTTAATGGCCATCTCCATGCTTTGGAAAATATTGCAGCTTTTCAGGATA